AATCCTCAAGTTCATTTTCTACCTGCAACCAAGCATACCGTTCTTTTTTCATAACAGAGACTTTTTTCATTAGGACTGAAGCAATCACCTTCATTATGGAAAATACAGATTTTCAAAAAGAAGAAAATTTCGATCACCCATAATTCCAATTAATGGATACATTTCATACTTTACAGACTCTTCCATGACCTCTTTCTCGCTAAGGAGGTCTTCATAGTTTTCTGTGGAATTTAATGTATTATTAGTACAGTATTATTGCATAGTATTCCACAGTACAAAGTACTTATTGTTGAGAACATTTCATGTACTATCCTTCAGTGACTATATAGATTTTGGATATTATTATCCCAATTTTATAGCAGAGAAAAGCGGCGCTAGGAGAGGTTGGGTAACTTGCCCAAGACACACCTAGCAGGCTGCATAGAACCCATGACAGGCGGACTTTGGATCTAAGTACTATCACCTACTTCTTCCCTTGTAATGTCTGTAATTAATTCACTTCCGATGGATTTTTAGGTTAAATTTTTCACATTTATAAACAGTCTGGCAATGGACAACTTGTGTGTATGTATGTATATATTTTTTTCTAAACATTCCTAATTATTAACTTCAGATTAATTGCCTTAAAGGGAATAGCAGAGATCAAAGCTATGCAAAATGCTAAGATAGATGTTTTTGATAGATGTTTTCAGATTGCTTTTAAGAAAGGTACAAATTCACAATTCACCTTTCCACTGGCCCAGCAGTGAGTGGAAAAAGATAAATATATTTAAAGCCTGTTCTGGATGTTTTGCTTTTCCCCTTGGAGCCTCGCCATCGAGGTGAGAAGAGCTCGTCCTTCCTCCTCCTCTGTACGACCACGTCATCTGCCTGTGTACAGCCGCATGCTACATGGAGATTCTGCGTGCTGCAGTTCCTTCGGCTGTTTTCACATTTATTTAGAGTAGTAACGCTTCTTTTGGAAAGCAGCATGATAAACTGGAAAGGACATGGACTTTGGAGTTAGACAATCCAACTTCTGGATCTCAGCCCTGCCACCTTCTCAGCTAAGCTTAACCAGGCGTTTGTTGTCCTGCAGCCGTCCTGTCACCTGTGAAGCAGGAGTAGTGCCTCCTGTACCGCATCATTATGAGCAATACGTTTGTTTGAAGATGTCAGTCATGTTGCTTCATACATAGTAGGTGCTCAGAAAATGTCCCTTCTCCCTTTTTATTCCCCACACATTGCTTGGTCTACTACTGCACATGCAGAGGTACCTGTAAATACAGTGAATGCTTGTTGCGTGAGTGAGAGTAACCCAGACAGGCGCTACAGTGTGTGCGCATCTGAGCAGTTGCTCAGGGCCGGTGCCCCAGCAGCCTGAACCACAACCCTAGATTCCAGTTGCCTGAAATGTTCCCAGAATCCAAATGTCTGAGTCTGTGCTCTGTCTGTATATCTCTAACCCCCTGAATAGGTGGGAATTTGAATTTTCAGTTGAGGAAAATTAGTTCCTCAGGAAACCTTTCCAAGCTTCATGTGGCCGTAGGGAAAACAAAGTTTCATAGTAAGCCAGTTGCACAGCTCTGTCTTCTAATGAGCTGATTGGTCAGAATTCTCTGCTACAGTGGGCTCTTAATAGAAAGTGATTATCTCCCCAACCTTCCCTGGGAAGTGGCAACATCAGCCACACGCTCCTTCCTGGGGGAGGGGATGGAACCAGGGAGGGGGCAGTACTGATGTCCTGGTCCTGGGCCCCACGATCGCTCCCCGTGGTGGGGTCCTGACGGCTGTAGCGTTGTTAGCTTGATCGTTTCCTTGCTTGTTTCTCTCAACCCTACATCTTAGTTACTGCTTCTTTGCCAACTAGTTTTCTTGTGGTTTATACGGTAGCAGTAGTATTCAACCCCACCCTGCCCCCCAAACAAAAGCACAAAAGGAGAAGCTTCAAGTAGAGAGGGGTAACTTTCCAATGTGAACTGCCACGTTTACCTGGAAAACTTGGAGTCTTACTTCTATGAATGGCTTTTCGTGATGTTTGTTCTTCCAGTACAAGCTGCTGTTCTTTCTTTTTTTGAAAGACTACTTTGCTCGACGGCTGTGTATTTCATTAGTTTCTCCTTGAGAAAGTGGACTTACCTTGAACGAAGGCCCAGTAAGTGCTTTTATTCTTCTTTTGTAACCATTTTTTAGTGAGTGTCCAGGAAGCAGCCTGGTGCAGTACTTTGGCTTTAGACAGATCTGGGTTTTCTCCGCCATTTACCAGCTGTGACTTTGGGCAAAGTCACCTGACCTCTTTGAGCTTTGTGAGTTTCCTCATTTACGGGACTGCTGTGAGAGCTATATGAGATCATGTACGAATACTAAATGGGATGATGTGTGCCACGTGCCAGGCAAAATGACCCGCATAGTAGGTCCTAATTAGGTATCTTGGGACATTCAAGTTACAACCTATAACCTAAGTCTTCCAGGATGGATGATAGCAAGCATTAACATTGGAGGCAATGACTAGACAGAACCACTGCAGACTGGCTCTTACAGTATGTTACAGTTGAAAAATAAATAGTGTGCCCTGTCTGGTGTGGTTCAGTGTGTTGAGCAACAGGCTGTGAACCAAAGAGTTGTTGGTTTGATTGCTGGTCAGGGCACATGCCTGGGTTGCAGGCCAGGTCAGATCCCCAGTAGGGGGCGCGTGAGAGGCAACCACATATTGATGTTTCTGTCCCTCTTTCTCCTTCCCTTCTCTGTCTAAAATATGTAAATAAAACCTTTTTAAAAAATACTTTATTAAGCTGACTTAAACATAAAATCTTGAATCTACCCGACTTTTGCTAATACTTCTCTCACTTGACTATGGTGTTGTAACTGGCTGAAGTCTTAAAGCAAATTAGATCTTTTCGCCTTATTCCAAAGGCAAGTGCTGACACGGCCAGTGGTGATGAAGAGGGAGTTAGCTCACCAGCAGGAACTTGAGGTCCCACGTCCCCGGCTCTGTCTTGCCTCAGAGTTGCTTTGGAACCAATGACAGGGCATGTCACCACCTCCCTTTTTGGTCTTTTTCTATTACTGGAGAACTATAATGTTTAGATAGTTGTTTATTCACTTTTTGATATGTTGGAATAGAAAACGCTGCCAACTTGGAAAACAGTAGTCGTTTCTATGGAAGCGCTTCATGTCGGTTGGAAGAGTGGGCACCAAGCTCCCTCCCCGCTTCCTGGGTGTGCCTGGGACGTTCGTGGTGCCCCAGGTGTTGCTGCAGAGCTAGGAGGAGCAAGGTGAGGTGCAGGCATGGACAGTTCCTGTCAACTTGGGCCTCACCCTCTGAGCTCGTTTAAAGTCATCCAGGATGCTCCTTATTTGAATGGATCAAATCTCTAAAACAAGATGGAGAAAGAAGCCTCTTGAATAAGATCAAAGACAATGAGGAAGATATTACCCATAACCAAAGCAGTAGAATGTAGAGTCAGTTCATACTAGTCCTTTCTACTCCTTCTCCATTGTTCGTTTCTGTTTTCTCCCCAGCAAAAAATTCAAGACCTTTTCTATCTGGAGCCTCACTGGGAAACCTTGCACAAGACTTAACGTCTCTAGGCCTCAGTTCTCTTATCTGTAAAATGAAGGTGGAGGTTCCTTCCTGCTTTTTTGTGGTTTTGTACTTAAACATACCTCAAGCATTTAGAATATAAATATCTGCTGACTTGAAGAAACATTAGGACAAAACAGAAAGTCACTTGAGCTTCCCAGGAGCTGGGGAATCATCCATGTACAATACGATTCTTTTAAACAAGTTCTCTCAGTGTTGAATTTTTTGTCTCCCCAAGAGCTCTATAAAAATAGTATTGTCTTGCCAGAGACATTAAGGCCTCAGAACTACCGCCCTCCTTCCGTGAACATATTATATGGTTTGTATTTGGCTTCGGATCTTTTTAGCAGACAGCCCAGCTCCATCCTGAGAGGCTGACTCAGCAGAGTTCCTCCGGCACGTCCCCGCTCTTTGCAGGGTTCGAGTGCCCACCCGCTGCCAGCTTCCAGGCCGGCTGGAGCTGAGGCTGCCTCTCTGCTCCTGTGCTCACCCATTTTCCCTAATTTTCCTCAGGTTGTTAGGGCTTGAGCCAGGCCAGTCTCATTTTTGTCCATGACCTGGTCCAGGACCACATTGGTCCTCTCAGTGGTGTTCACCTCCTCTGCCCTCCAATCCGCGTGGCCCCTGCCATCCGCTCAGCCCCTGTCCTCTTTCCCACCTGTTCCCCTGTCACTGTCTTACCTGCTGATCTGCCCCTCAGGTTTGCCAGACAGCCTCTCTCCTTTCCCTTGTTTGAAATCACAACATAATCCCAAAGGTTTTAGGAGTAAGGGTCTAATGTTTTATTATGGAGAATTTCAGTAATTTACAGCAGTAGAGAAGAAAGTACACTGAACCTCATGTACCAATCACCCAGCTTCACTAACCTTGTTCCATCCACTTGTTTCAACCCCAGATTACCTGGAAGCAAGTTTCACACCACATACCATTTTTAGTTTCCTTTTTTAAAAAACTTCTCCCAATTTACTTGAGAGGCGTAAGCTAACTCTCGTCCAGGTTTCATTCGATGTAGCCCAGCCACCTTTCTGGTCTCCCAGGCTCCCAGTCTGCTCAGAAGCGGAGGTCCCTCCCTGCTCTCCCCTGTCCCTTTCTGGGGGATCAGCTGACAGAAGAATGGGAGCCCACTCAGCTGCCTGGTGAGGGGCTGTGTGGCCGATGGCCACTTTGGTGCGAAGGGACGGCTGTTTCAGGCATGAGGGGCACGGGGAAGGACGCCGTGCCTGAGTCCTGCCTCGCTGTCCAAGAGGAGGTGGGCGGGCTCGTTTGTATGCACAGTCAGCCACTACCAGCCGGATGAGACACGTTGCCCGAAACACAGTGGCAGCTGTGAGAGCAAGCTCTGGCCTGGTCTCCAGCCCCTTGCCCCTTCCCTGGTAACAGGTGCAGCTGTCCTCCTATAAGACATCTAAAGGCTTGTCCTGTGTGTCTTCAATTTCAGATGCAGTGGCAGAATGTGGAGCATGTTGGTGACCAGAGCCCCTATGTCACCTCGGTCATTCTTCACATTAAGCAGAACGTCCCCATCATCCGTGACAACCTGGCTTCAACACGCAAATACTTCACTCAGTTCTGCATTAAATTTGCAAAGTAAGTCCTGGAACATTCTCATCCCTGGGGGATTTCGAGGCCATACTTACCGCCGGTGCGCTCACAATCCAGGTGTCCCCACCATCCAGCTAGAAAGGAAATTGAAGGGAAAGGAACTTCAACTCCAGAGATCTGCTGATCAGGAGGGAGAACTGGGGCCATTTAGAAGGGGTTCTTCAGACCAGAGCCAGGCCAAACGAGAATGTGAGATCAAATTCCTGGCTAATTGCAACGGCACACGCGGTTTATAAGTCACTCAGAGTAGAGTAGGCTTTGGTAGTATAGTATTCTGGCTGCGGTGGGCAAACTAATTTTGTTGTACCCAAAAGAAGCAGAGTAATGAAACTCAGTCCCCTGACGTCATGGATGACAGTAACAGCGACGTAGTCACCAACCACATCAAGGCAGACAGAACTGTGATGGGGGCGCTGCTGTTCCGAGTTGTGTGGACATAACTGAGCCCCTGCCTGCCCCCTGGGTTGAATGATTAAAATTATTTTTCAGTGACTTCCTATATACATTTTGTCTCTCCAACAAGATGATAAAGTTTTTAAGGATAGGCACCATCAGTTCTGTTTGTTCTGAGCCTTTTCTTCCTCCTTCCCCACAGTAGCTCTTACTGGGGCTACCAGAATTTATCTACCGCAGATGTCCTTGCGTCCAGGGAAGGTACTAGAAATTAGGAAGGCCAGTCAGGGAGCTCCATTGCCAAGGCAGATGGAGTGAACTGCGTGTCTTCCTGCCACACCCTTGTGTGTGGCCATTTCTGGCTTGATGTTTTGAAGCAGGGAAATAGTTTGGTCCCTTGCCAGCCAGCCAGCATCTGGCTGTAGCACCTTTCCCCTCGAGACCAGACAGCACACAGGGTCAGTGCCTCCTCGGACCAATTAGCAAATAAGCACTTTGGCAAACTGCTCAGGAAAGGGCTTCAGGAGGGTCAACCCAGTCCAAGCTACTGTATTTAGGTTGTTCTCTTCCAAGTCCCGAAGGGTGATTTAGGACTCCAAGTTTCTGTCTTCTTGAAATATCTCCCTGTTTGTATTCAATTAAGGCTTTTCTTCTCCCTCACAAATAAATCCCTGAGGACCCTCAGTTATGGAGTGGCTTATGGCATCAGCTTCAGTTTTACTTTGTCGAGGAAAGAAAGAGTTGGGTCTCCAGGGAGGCGTTAGTGTTTGCAGTGTAGCAGATGAACCAGGAGCTGACATTTCCTTCGCTCTCCGGGTGCTCATTAGGGTGTGCTAAAGCATTGCTGATGAATCACATGGTGACACTCCCCAAAGCCCCTGGTGGAAACAGTATCTCTAAAGGTTGACCGTGCATGGCCAGAAGTCTCCAGGGTGGCCGCCCGGGGCTCTGATCGAGCTGACGTCGAAGTGAGTTCAGTCCCGGCGGCAGCCTCACAGCCTCTCGCGGCCCTTTCATTTTGTCACTGAGCCCGCATTGCGTAAACGGGGGGTAGGATGCCCATCTCTCACAGTTGGAAAAATCTAACCTGTGAAATCAGAGTGGCTTTCTGATTTAATTTGGGGCACTTTCTCATCCTTCTAGAATCCCAGTGGAGGACTCGGGAGCTCAGAGGCGGGGGTTTCCCCAGCCGAGAGCAGCAGCCACCACCACCCCAAGGGGACGGGAAGCACTTAGCTGTTACCCACCACGTTGCTGGGACGTCCCCCCAAAGACGTGTCCTGGCCTCTCTGTTTTCCTCACCCGCCCCAGCAGACTAGCAGACACAGCCAGTTAAGGGCACACCCGGAGCCCACTCTCCTGTAACGTAACTCAGGTTACAACTGTGTGTGCTGTTGCAGTTAGTCGGGAACTCAGTCTCACGTTCTTGTTTGGCCTGGCTCTGGTTTGAAGAATCCCTTCTAAGTAGCCCCAGGTCTGCCTCCTGATCAGCAGATCTCTGGAGTTGAAGTTCCTTTCTCTGTAACTTTTTCTCCTATCCCATCAACATAAAGCCATAGATGTTTCCACTTGGTCTCTGCAGCAGGAGCCTTTCCTGTGTAAACACCAAGATCAGCCTTCTGATTGAAACCACTAAGTGACTTCTCTGTCCACTAAGCTGATTCTCCTCCAATCAGTAATGGAGATAACAAGACAAATGTCTTTATAGTGGTTGGGAGGATAAAATGAGAAGTCTTATGTCAACTTTCTGATGGAGCGCTAGTACCAAGCTGACATTCAAAGAGCGGTACCTGTGCCCTGGCCAGCGTGGCTCCGTTGGTTGGAGCACTGTCCCATACACCAAAAACCAAAAGGTCCTGGGTTCGATTCCCAGTCAGGGCATGCACCTGGTCTGCAGGTTTAATCCTTGGCCAGTGTGTATACAGGAGGCAACGGATCAATGTTACTCTCTCACATTGATATTTCTTTCTCTCTGCCCCTGCCAAACCCTCTCTTCAACAACTGCAATGAAAAATATGGTTGTCCTATCATTATTATTTATTCAACATGTATTCAACATGTATGCTATGTCTCAGACATAGAATTAAGTGCTTTGACTTAATAGATACTGTCCCTATTTTTGTTTGCCTTGCAGTCAAGTGGAGGGAAACAGACGTGAATAAATAAGTATAGTAAAGTCAGTTAGATGTTAGACTAGACATCTGGACTCAGTGTAGGAACATAGTGACTAAGACTTCATGGGAGAGAAGGAGAGATGTCCTTGAGCAGAATCCAAGAGACGTGTGTACTGACCCACAAGGACCCCACAAGGCCTTGGGGAAGAGGGCGTGGTGTAAGCAAAGGCACGGAGGCTGAAATAGCCTGTGGAACCACAGGATCTACAAGTAGCTCTGCTGGTTGGAGCATAGGGAGCCAGGGCTTAGCACGAGGAGGCTGGGACAGAGAATCAAGACAACTAAGGAAGGCTTTGTCTGCAGCCTCACAAGAGTTTTACTCAGGGGAAGGTCTTGGTCATATTTGCATTTGAAACTTCTTTTGGCAGCAGATGGATTAGAAGGGATGAAGCTGGGAGACCAGTCAGGAAACCACTGAAAGGGCTCCAGTGAGAAAGGGCAGTAGTAGTGGGAATGGTTGGAGGGGTGGATGTGGGAAAGCTGGTCGCTGGTGGGATACCGGGGTGGAGGGTGAGGGGGCCGTCTCAGGCAGCCCTTGGTTTCTGACTCGGGTGACTGGGGGGATGAGACCCAGTCACGAGCTGGGTTACCGGGTGGGGCTGAGTCGTGGGCACGCTGGGGTTGAGGTTGCAGCGGGCCATTCCAGTGGGATGTCCGGCAGGTTGTTGGATGTTAGAGTGGGCACAGGTGTGTGGGAAAAGATGTAAAGAGATGGAAGAGGATGGAGGTCACAAGCCTGAGAGCCACGCTGAAGGAGGGAGAGGGGTGCTAGCCAGCCTTCAGCTCAGCGTACAGACCCTGCTTTGTCGTGGGTCCTGACACCTCCAGTCTGTCAGTCTGGACCTGGCCTTGAATATAGGCGTTTCTAGCTCCCACACTTGCCGTTCTGCTTTGCCTACTCAGGCCTCTGCAGTTGTTTCAAAAAGCTTCCCCAACCTATTAAAATTCCATTGTCCCCTTCCCCAGGCCAGAATCATTGTCAGTTCACCAGGCCAGCATCGCCCTTCAGTCCCCAGTACATTCGGGGAGATCGTATATTTCGTTCCTGATCCGACACTTGCTCCCTTAACACTTGTTTCCTATTTTTGCCTTTAAGATCCCATAACTACCTCATGTATATTCCACTCTCGTAACTGGTAGGGTGTTTCTGGCTACTAGTAATGGAGGCCTTGACTCAAACGGACTTACACAGAAGGTGAACTTTTTACTTCATAAAACTGGAAGCCCAGAGTAGGACAGATGCAAGGGTGGTTGATTCAGCGGTTCAGCGATGTCATTAAGGACCCAGGTTCTTCACCCTGCTCTGCTCTCCTTGGGGCTGGCTTCATCCTCAGAACGGTGGGGAAATGGCCGCCTTTATAACCAAATACAATACCCTGAAGAAGAAGAGAGAGCCTTGCCCCAGCGTGCAGTAAAATCCTCCCCTCCAGTCTGCTTTGGCCAGCCCGGATCATGTTCCCATCCGGTACCAAGAACAGTTACCAAGGGCACGCCACGCTCTCTGGGAGACGCCTCGGAATTCAGCTCTGTAGTGGGGGGAGGAACCAACTTTTCCCTGGCATCCCAAGGTCACGTCCACCTAAATGAAACCAGGGCCTCGGCCGGAAAGAAAAAGAAGGCAGTGGATGCTGGTAGGCCACAGAAGTGCCTTCTTCATTTCTCAGTTTCCTTATGGAAGGCAGAAGGGCCTTAAAGTTCTTTCCTACAGTTCTTTGCAGAAGAGAGTACAAGCCTGATTTGTCACTTCTTTTTTATCCACAGCTCCTTCATTCCCAAGTTCATCACGCACCTCTTCAAGTGCAAGCCAATTAGCATGGTGGGAGCAGAACAGGTGAGATGAAGTTGGTACGGGGTCTATTCTCTATGGCTTTGGTTGTAGATCAAACACATGTCTTTTTGGCACGGGTCCACTCTGGAGAAATACAGTTGCCAATTTCCCCCATTTGGGGCACAGTGTGGTGACTGGATGGCTTAATTCAGTCATCCATGTACTTAAAGATTTTTGTTGAGTACCTACTAAGTATGCAGGCATTGTTCTAGGTACAGGGTATACCACAGTAAACAAGACAGAAAAGTTCTCACCCTTATGATACTTACATTCTGGTAAGTAAAGAGAAAATATACAATTTAACAAAGAAATTAGAAGACAGTTTCAACTTCAGTATCCTAAAGGGCATGAAACTAGGTTACTGAAAGAATATCTTAGTGGCATGAGGACGTAATGGCTCTGCCTTTGAAGGGCAGAGAGGGCTCCTCTGGGAGCCGGGGCTCGGCAGGGACCAGAGCAAAGGCTCTGACAATGCAGGACCTGTGCCTGGAGCAGGGACCCCTGGAGAACAGCACAGAAAGGCTCGTCCTTGTGGTCCTGAGGAGCTGTCTGCCACACCCAAGGAGCCTTCCTTCGCTTGTCCCATTTCGTTCACTCGGATTCTGGGCCTCAAGGCATCTCTGCATCGGTTGTATCACCTGAGCACGAATGTGCTGCGTCACATGGTACAGCAGAGTCGCCTCTTTTCAGCTGCCACCTGCTCGGACTACCAGAACTGTGAGCGGTTTGAGTTCAGAGAGCAGTTTAAGCTACTCTTTGAAAGAAACAATCAATCAATCATTTTCATCCCCTAATTCTCTAAAAAGCATCTGCGTAGATGCATTCTCATATATTCATTAAAGTAAATCTTCTCCAGGCCTCTACTTAGCAACACTTAGTGAAAGTACTTTTTTTTTAAAGTAAACTACGTTTCTAAGTAAGGTTATATAATTCAGTACATTTCTGTAACTCCTGTTCTTCCATCCAATCAGCCAACTTGGTCGAGACTCAACGCTCTCCCAGCCCAGCTACTCGCCCTCACACGGGCTCTCGGCCCTGCTGGTCTGCTGGTCTGCTGGTCAGCTGGTCAGTGTGGCAAGTTGACGTGTGCCCAGTGCATCCTGGGTCTCACGCTGCGTCAAAGCCAGAGATGTAATCTCGATGAATGTCAGGAATGTCTCGAATCTGATAAGTGCAGTGTGTTTTTATGCTCTTTGTGAGTAAGTGGAGGTTATGAAAATCCAGTATGGAGTAAGCACTGGGGTCTCGGGTTTCTGAATCAGAGGCTGAGTCCTGTCTGTAACAACTGTTTGTCCTTAGACACATCACTGAACCTCCTGGCACTTGAGTTTCCTCATCTATAAAATGGGGATAATCCTAGTACTGCCTCACGGGGAAGTTGCAAGGGTTAAGCAAAATAATGCACTTAAAGTGCCTGGTACAGTGTCCAGCGCAGGGGAAGCCCAGTGCCAGCTCCTATGTGTTTACGCTTCCGCAGACCAGGGACGGGACTTCGTTTCTGCTCTCATCTCCCGTCTCCCTGCACAGTAAACACCTAGCCAGTGTTTGTTGCTGGCTGGCTGGCTGGCTGGCTGGCCGGCTTTAACCAGGGTCAAAAATATGTATCGTCTCAGAGAGCGTCCCAGCAGGTTGCATGGATTCAGGCGCCGACTGTGTCTGTAGTGTCAGTGTTTCGAAATGCTCGACTGTTGAATGTCGTAAGCAGAGGACTAACCCTCTCCGTTAGAAACAGCAGCCTGATGCCCCAACACGTCGGCTCCGGGTTCCTCAGCACATGTCCACTGGGCACTGATTCTGTCCAGCTCACCGTTGTGCGTCATCAAGAAGACGCAGCATGATCACTGTCTGTGTATCGGAAAAAGCTTAAGCATCCTCACTTACTAGGTTTCTGTCTCTAGACATGATGAAGCTGCTGGACACCAAGTTGACTCATTGCGAGCATGTTTTCAGGAGAGCGCAGCTCTGCCCAGGCCTTGCTAGCTGATTTACTGTCTTATAATCATGCTATTTTCGTATCATCACATAAATCCAATATCCTATCTATTTTCCCCAGATTTTTCTATTCTTTCAAAGAATGTTAAAATAATCAGCTCAGGCTCAAAGCCCGTTATCTTCAGAAAAATACCAGTTTAGCCAGTATTGACTCTTGCTTTGAGAGATGAGTGAGAAAACCATCTGTGAAAGTGGAGTTTTACTTTCCCAGACCCCAGGCAGGGATGAGTGGGTGAGGAGGGCGTGGATCTCAACAGGCCCAGCCTGGGGGAAGGCGTGAGTGGGAACTAAAGGGCAGTGTGGCCCTTGAAGGGGTCCCATGGAAAGTTCAGGGTTAGCTGGGTCCACACTTGCCCTGAACATGTGGCTTAGACACTAGGCAGTCATGGAGCTAGAGATGTGATCAAACAGGCAGCAGAACCAGGGGAATCAAGAGGTTAACACAGAGATGTGCATAGACTGAAGTAGGTTCTGCCTCCAGTCTTGTCGTGGCTGTAATCCAGGCTTTAATAAAAACTGTGAAATGCAAAACTAAGATTTAGCCTAATCTCAGCTGCCTGAGCTTTGCCACAAAGGTACTAGATCCTAAATTTAGATTCTACTTTAATACTTGTGCTGAAAATTTTCCTGATATTTATTCTCTTCCTGATTACTACACAGCCTGAATTATTTCTCTTAGGCCCTAGAGTCCTCTTGAGCAATTGCAAGGGCACATGGAACTGAACCTTACTGGTATTTGTAATGCTTCTTGCTACTTTGTGATTTTCAGAGTATCTTGTGGGATTTGCAGGTCGTTAATCAATCTTACAGCCATGGTATCTATGGCTACATGCACAGCAGATATGGAATCCATTCGTACAAACTTACCAGGGAGGGAGCAGAACAATAAGGTGTGGGGAAAAGAGCCCCGAGATGTGGGGTCCAGTCCCTCCGCTGCTATTAACGGTCCTGGTGACCGGAGAAGCCGCTGCTTCTCTGCTCTGGGCTCAGTTTCGCTGTGTTTAAACGAGAGCACTGAACCAGACACTCTCACACGCCTTTCCTGGGTCTGTCACATTATGGAGTTTTGAGCAATATTACTCATGTCTGCGAAGTCACCTTGTATTCCTTTGTAGCATTGTTACAGAACAGACGGTGGGGGGCGGTGAACAATATACTGTTACCGAATTGACTCCCACCTTTTGCTCCAGGGGTTCCCCCCCCACCCCCACCCCCCATACCAGGTTTCCCTTACCTGCCGCCAGGGAAAGGTATCTCTCAATGCCAGAAGTTGAAAAGGGAAGGAATTATTTATTTAAAAGGTAGAGTAATGACTTAATGTCTTCATTAAAATACCGAAGTCCTTTAGAATACCCACAAACACACAGGCCTTCCTTCTCCCGCTGCCCAGTCTGGGGTACCGGGACTCAGGAAAAGAAGAAGAAGTCCGTGGTTCAGGCAGCCCCTCAGTTCCAGCACCATCAGCTGTGTTGCCACTCCAACCTCCTATTAATCCAAAGCCATGTGGCACCTTTTTTAAAAAAAAAAAAATTATTTTTTTTTAGAGAGAGGGGAAGGGAAGGAGAAAGAGAGGGAGAGAAACATTAATGTGTGGTTGCCTCTTACATGGCCCACACTGGGGACCTGGCCTGCAATCCAGGCATGTGCCCTGACTGGGAATCAAACCAGTGACCCTTTGGTTCACAGCCCATGTTCAATCCACTGAGCTATACCAGCCAGGGCATGTGGCACCTTCTCATGGCCCACCAGCAAGAGTCCTTTCACCCCTTCCCTTCCCAGCAAGGTCTCTCCTGCTACCTAAGCCACCTGGCAAAAGGGGGCATCCCAAAGCCGCATGGTCCTGACTCTCGCTGAAGCCACAGGGTCCCAACAAACCATCGTGGCTACCACACCTGAGTTTAAATCCCAGTGCCAATCTTTCTCTGCAGCCCCATTTCCATCTCCTCACACAGTTAGTTATACCTGCCAGCGTTCCCGTATTTTTCTAGCCTTTCTCGGCTGCCAAAGTAAGTCCGGGCAGGCGTGGCACCAATCATCTCCAAGCTCTTACGCAGGCTCTGTAACCAAGGGAGTTGCCTCCCAGTTACATCCTGGGTGGAAGTCTCTTCCATCCCCCTGACTCAAAGCATGACCACAGCTATTTAACATATTCATAAAGCCAGTTAAAGGTTATAGGTATGTTAAATGACCATGCCTGAGGTTATTTGCAGAACTGTTGCTATGCAAAACAGTTCTCCATGGACCTGCTCCATGTGTCCCATCCCCCAGTTCAGACCTGCGGGGGGTGAGGACATCCCATATTTTTTAAATATTTTCTGGATACTCCGAGTTCTGGACCCCATTACAAATCCTTCTTTGGGGTCCCCCTGGCTGCACCCTGTTACAGCACCTTTATATCTCATGTAGACTTTTTTATTTTGGTGAAACATGCAAAACATAGAATTTATCACGGTAACCATTTTAAGTGTACAGTTAAGTAATGTTAGGTACATTCACATTGCTGTTCTGCCCCCACACCTTCCACCTTCAGACCTTGTTCATCTTCCCAAACTGAAACTCCATTCCCATCAAACACTGACTCCCATTCTGTCCTCGTCCCCGGTCCTTGCAAACACCATTGCATTCTACTCTGTGTCTGTGAATATGACGACTCAGAGAACCTCAGAGCAGAGTCATACAACATTTGTCCTGTGTGTCTAGCTTATTTCACACTCTAGCATGTCTTCGGGGGTTATCCATGTTGTAACATGTTTCAGAATTTTCTTCTTTTTTAAGGCTGAATAATATTCCATTCTGTGTATATACCACATTTTGACCATATTGAATTCTAAATTCACCAAATTCAAAACCATGTGTAAAAAAATACATTTAAAGCAAATTTTAGATGTTTTTAAAAGCTCCGACACCAGGAAAGGGAAAAAGGGAGTCACAGTGATGTGTGCACCTTGTCGCTGCGGTGGGAAAAGTGAGACAGTGAGGTGGGTCTTCTCGGGTGCATCTCTTCCCCGGAA